ATGGTAAAGGAAATGAAAGCTGAGGCAGAAACATTCAAATATAAACTAGACGAAGAGACTGGTAAAAGCAAAAATGTTGAAAGTGATAGAGATGTTTTAAAATCACAAATAACAGAGCTAAGGAAGGTAAGTCATTGAAAGGTTGTCTTGTACAGGACCTTGAAGCATCCCTTGCTGTCAGTGTTGTTGTTGTATTGTATTATGTATTAAATGGTTGTTTTGTACAGGATCTTGAAGCATCCCTTGCTGCTAGTGTTGTTGTTGTGTTGTATTATGTATTAAATGGTTGTTTTGTACAGGATCTTGAAGCATCCCTTGCTGCTAGTGTTGCTCGTGAGAAGGAAACAATGGATCAAGTTGCTACTCTTCAAGAAGACAAAGACAGACTCGCCAGAGAGATAGCTGGATACATCACAAAGGAGAAAACTATGGTATGAAATACACAATAAAATGTGGTCATAGGTCATAGTTTGTTGAATCCAATGGTGTTTTGTTTGTTTTAGAAATTGATAATTGATAAACTAAATGTAAAAATTTCATTTCAATTTCATTCAGCATTATTACATCATCTGGCATTTCATCTCTTATTATTGTTATTATTATTATTATTGATTGATTGATTGTCATTGTGTTCTCAAACTGCAGACCAAAACCATAGAAGAACTCAAACTTAATAGTCAATCATTTGAGGGAAAAAAATCATCATTACAAAGTGTGATATCATCACAAGAAAAGCAAGTTGCAGACCTTATTTTAAAGGTGAGAAGAAAAGAGGTTGTAATTTCAGTTGCAATGTCTATTTTGTAGTTTAAAATCCCACAATGCCTCAGAAGACTCTTCTGTCTAGGGTGATATTGGTTGATTTCTGGTCATTACTAATTGTCTTTTAGATTGARAAAAGTGATCAGAAATGTGCTGCACTAGAGCATCGACTGTTAACAGAGCAAAGCAAGACTGCAGGTAAGAATGGAATGGACTGCTTAAATAAATACTGTGCCAGCTTAGCTTGAGTACCAGGCTCTCTCAATGCCCCAATCCTTAGGTTACTCAGGCTACTGCCAGCTCTATGGCTTACTGTTGATACTATGTGTATCATCATGCGTTTTTAGAACTCAGCACAAAAGTCCACTACACATCAGAAAGCAGCAGTTCTGCAAAGCAGGAGGTGGACAATCTCAAGGAAGAGATCAAAGCTCTGACATCACAGTTGCTAAGGCAACATGATGCAACCATGGACAGCAGGGTAAATAGCAAACAGATTAGTACTTGACCGTGCAAAAATACACCTGTACTGTCACTATAGTAGATATTAGCATCATTCATGCTTAGTGATCTTTATGTTTTTTCAGTCCAAATACGAACAATTGATCATGGAAGTCAAGGGAGAATTAGAGAAGGAACGAGAAAAGTCTTCTGGTGACCGACATGCTCTGGCAAGTCAACTGGAGCTGGCTATGAGAGAGAGCAAAGACTTGAGTACATTGTTGAGGGCAAGGGAAGAGGTACTGTACTGTATTGTAGTTCAATCACAAGTCTTTCTATCTGTCTAATGCATTTAGTTTGTTTATAAATCTGCCTGATAATTAGCCTCTCTGTGTGATAGTTGGTCAGTCTTTCTGGATGGTTGTTTGTCTGCCTGTCTGATAGTTTGTCTGTCTGTCTGATGATAGCCATGTATTCTATTGTTCTGTCTGATAGTCCACCTGACTATCTATTATCTTTTGATTAATCAATACAGGAGTTGAACCTGCTCCGTCAAGAGTTGTCCAATGTAAGTACTACTGGTACCAAGGCCTCCACAGCGTTAGAGTTTGAATCTAAGATGCGTGGTAGCCTAGAAAGCAGAGCTAACCATCTTGAGGGGGAATTAACAAAAGCTTGGGGTCAAATCAAAGAATTGACAGAAAAAGCAAGTGGATTGGAGGCTTCTAAACGTCATTTGGAGATTGAATTGGACCGAGTAAGTATCAACAACGTGATATGTGGTGAATTAATGGACAGCAAGTAACGGAAAATAATTATAATAAAAAAGAAAGAAATGGATTTTACAGATGAAAATAACTTTTTTAATAGAAAGTGCCCAAGAAGTTGAATGTGGACAAATTTTCAAATCTCAAATATAAAGTGCATGTTTAGCTCATTGCATGAATACCATTTTAACAACAACAACTGCAATAAAACTTGGAATGAGCATCTGTTGCTATCTTTACTATCTCTTTTAAAGGATGAATGATTTAACCTTGAATACCGTTGGCAGTGGTTGCTGCGCCAATGTRTGATTGTTCAGTCTCCTTGGTTACTGTGTTGATTGTTGATTTGATGATTGTTGATGCTTCCTTTAAGACCGATTAGATGTAGACTGTATTTCATTTCATTGGTTGGTTTTTCAGAGAACACAGCAACTGCGTCAGTCAGAAAGTACTTTACATAAAAGACAAGCAGAACATACTGCCATGGTCGTTGCTAAGGATACCGCTCAACAACAAGCAGAGGAAGCGGAAGCGAAGGTAAAGCTGTTGAATATCTACCCTCTCCTCACCTAATAAATGCTAATGCGCTGATGTTCTTATCTTTATGTATGAAAGCTAACTGACCAGAATGACTTGAAATGGGATGCAAAAACAAAAAACAAACAAATGAAAACATCAGTCAGAGTTGACAAGCTCCAGCTCTACTTTGTCTGATTGCGACTTCAGTTTGTATTGTGTAAATGTAAATTAATAACAGATTTTCTCACTTTAAAAACTTAGTGTTTTTATTCCATGCTTTGCAGCTGGCATCTCTGCGTTTAGAGTATGAAGCGCTCGTTRCACGACTGGAAAAGACTGAGGCAGACCTGAAGTCAGCCAGTGAACAACTAATGGAGCTTCACCTAAAACACCAGGAAAACAGTGCTTTGCGCGGCCACCTMGAGGAAGAACAAGTCAACAAGTAATTAAAATAAACAACTTGCACTATGACGTCACACGACACAATAATGACATAAAGTAAAACTAACTCGAGGAGATTCCGTATAAATTGTGCATTGCATTTTTGTGCTGGTAACAGTGTACTTTAACAGATTTTACAGTAAATTCATTGTTTTGGATAAGTTCTGGGACCATGCTTTGTGTGTCCATGATCCGAGCGGCTGCTCAGTCATACGAAATCTGAAAGATATATATTGCAAAGAAATATAGAAATTCCAGATGCAGCACAAACTACTGTTTGACTAATTTATATCTTTATTTAGAAATATTCAACACCAGACGGTGAAAGAACTTGAACATCAAATCGGTGTTTTACAAGAAAGAAATTCTCAGTTACAACAAGTGGTTTTAAAACAAGAAGAAAGCATCAGAGCYATGGACAAACAGGTGAAGTAGTCTTTGAAGGGCTGCCTGGGTTCTTGGGTTATTATTATTGAAATCATTATAATGCCGATTGATTTGATGGAGMATGAAAGATTGATAGATTCTGTTGATCATCGGATTGGTTGATTCTATTCTATTCTTAAAGAGACATTCCATCGAGGTTTTTCTTTCATTCCTCTAGTAGAGAGACTCCCTCTATTGACTATGCTCTAGGTGACTATCTTACTTAAATCAACGGTCGTTCAGGAGTTGTATGTAGAAGGCCTTAGAGTGAGCATCATCCATCTCCATTTCCTTTTTTTTATTTTCTATTTTTTCTATCACTAATAGCCAATCATCATAATTGCGACATRCTTTATGCAATAGTAATCAGATTATTAGAAATATCAAATGAGTGTCTTMCAATATTTATTCGTCAAATTATGATACTTTGTTATCTGCAAGTGACGGTAAAAATACAAAAAAACGGCAATTCATCACAAGGCGACTAATGTTCCGTTTTGATTGATGCGCACCCGTCGTCATAGTAACGTTGTTGGACCTGTTCGATGTTCTAACCGGAATATTATCTATTCTACAGCAAAAACAGAKTGACAACCAATCAAAGGGTTTGTCAGAAAGAATGAATGAAGCTTTACAAGAGAAYGAAATGTTGAAGCAAGAACTGATAGCAGCAGCTGACAGAATCGACAACCTGAAACGTAAAAGCGACGAAAGAAAAACAAAAACACAAGCAAAAGTACAAGCTTTAAGGCAAGGCGTTGTTATATCTAATGTCTAATATGAGCATGATTAATAAGTCTAATATGTGATGAAAACAAAACCACTGAAGAACACTCTCCTATAGCCTTCGACAACTTCAATACTTTCATCAATACCATGATGCACTTCGCCACATGACGTCATCAGGGTAGAAGACCATCCAGAAACTAGTTTGTGTTTTATTTAATTCAAAATAGGCGCAACTTAGTAAAAATCAATTTTAGTAAAACTGTACCTCTATCTGACAGGAACCAGTTTGCTCGTGACAAGAGAGCCCTCGAGGAAAGAGTCCTTTCTCTAGAGAACACGCTTCAACTCACCCAGCAACGTTCCTTGAAGGACGAGGAATGGGAAGGAACAGCAAATGCTGCTTTGAAATCTTTACAGAAAGAAAAGCGAGAACTTCTCTCAAAGTAAGACTGCACATCGATATGCTCGATGGTGCATGCTTTATATAGCGACGACATTAAAACCGTGAAACACAATCTACCTGTACAGGTGTCGTAGTTAAATAGACACAAAACAAAACAGTGGAATTAGTGCGCTGTAAGGTATATTGTATTGTATTATTTCACGGGCATACGGTGAGAACAATGAGAACAATGCTACAAATTGCTACAATTGAGAACAATGCTACAAAGGAATTTAAATAATTGGCATTGTGTTTATGCTTTGTTGAATTCTTAGTTAGGCGATAACTAAATCTTATTTAGCAATACATATTAAGAATTGTTTCATGCTTATGTGACGTGCACTCTACTAGCCCATATAAACGAAAATAATAAAGTAAATGCCTTTTAAAAAGTGTATTGTATCACGGGTTTATTGCCCTCTATCATATCATCTATGCAAATATGAGAAAGATATATATAATATATTCGAATACCTTGAATGATGTGATAAGTCTTATTCATCTCGTTTGCATTGCTAGTTTAATGGACAGCGAAGAAGTCATTCGTGAATATCAACGCACTAGTCGTGAAAGTGAATCTCGTTTGACTGTCTTAACAAAAGAAAACGACGAACTTCAAAACAAASTTAATGAACTCATCAAAGAAAAGACGCTGTTGTCTAGAGAGTTGACRAAACTAAGGGTAGGATCTCTTGATATTGCTCGTGAACACTGTTCTTATTTAGAGAATTGGTGGGCAGACGGCCCCCTKATAYGTTAGATAAGAATATAGTAGAGATGGGATAGCAATTCAAGYTCGAAAACAACGGAGTTTATGTCATTTTATATGGGAATTGATTCAGTAATAGAACTCCCACTCACCGACTGTTTTTTCTTTGATTGTAAAAATGCCGTATTGGTATTATTCATTCATTGTACTATTTCTTGGTTGTTCTTCAGTCGAGCCCATTCAGCAGTCCACAGCCAAGAGGTGCYGTTGATTCTCAAGTATTAATGAGTGCTTTATCGAGAMTCCATCAGAACGGACASGACAGTCTGGTATCATCGCCTGATTTTCAATCACCTGAAAGYCGTTCACCTGATAGGGCTGTGCAGTTATTAAACTCACTAAATGACAGCCTTGGTAAACCCTCAAGYAACCGGCATGTGTATGTCAGCTGACATCGGCTCCATGTGATTCATGTTTTATATCGCAGAACATCTATAGTCCTAATAACAGTTATTATTTGGTACAAAGGGCAGTGTTACATACATGTAACATCAACGTGGCGCACGCACGTTCTAAAGCTGCTAAATCATGTATGGATACTTAGGATATTGTGTTGTCATATCAGTGTTGTACCAAAGTATCCCTGTTTTAAGGGGAGTTACCCCAAGTACATTTTATGAATGACCGTCTCTTTTGGATTATGTTCGACCAATATTTAAGTTCTCTTCGTCAAAAGTGTGTCCTTGAATGGTTACAGACTGTTAAGGTGGCTTCATATTATTATTGAAGACGTGCATAGTTTTTTTTTCAAAGTGTTTTTTGGCATGCATTAAGTTTTTGCAAGTCACGTGACATCTGAGATATCGGGTTTTTCCAATTTTCATCATTTTGTTAATTTGCGTGGTGTTATGATCGAAGTACGGGTAAACGCGAATGTACACTCCATGAAACCACTTTAACATGAAGTTCTCATATGATAATATATATATTTTT